GTGGTGTTACGGAGGTACATTGCATCCTTTTCAGAAAAAGACCTCTCCACAGCCCGGTGGTCATGATAGAACTTTTTCAGGTATTGCTTCCTGCGAACAGTGACAGTGACATCTGGATGAACAAAGTCCAGGCGAGTGCGCACATGTCTGTTAAGAAAAAGATCTGCTGGCGATTGGCCTGTAGTGCAGTTTGGAGTAGTGCGATACTGCATGAGGAAAAGAGAGATCTTATCTTCCAAGTCCATAGTCAAATGTGTGAGTTTCTTTATTCCGCTTTTAAATGTCTGCACATACCTTTCTGCAAGGGCGTTGGTAGCAAGATGACCTGGGGCACTCGTTGAATGCAGGATGCCATTTTGCTGCATAAAGGTTTTGAACTCCTCAGATGTAAATTGTGTTCCATTGTCTGTGACAATGTGCTCCGGAAGTCCGTATGCTGCAAACAGTCTCTTATCTTCCAAGTCCATTGTCAAATGTGCAAGTTTCTTTATTCCGCTTTTAAATGTCTGCACATACCTTTCTGCAAAGCCATTGGTAGCAGGATGACCTGGAGCACTCGTTGAATGCAGGATGCCATTTTGATCCTCTCTCTGCAGACAGTTCATATCTGCGTGAATGGTAAGCTTTCAAACTTTCATCCACATCCATTGGCCAACCCTCCATGACATATTTCAGAACTTTGGATAACACCTTGTCTCGGCGTGTTATACTTGCGACCTGGTCCGCATTCAAAGGAGCTTGTTTGAAGTGCTCAGCTATTAGTGCATGAATGTACTCTGACAAGGCAGCTGTGCCCCCATCAGTCGTGACAGGAAGGGGAACACGTGAAAGGCCATCTGCATTACTGTGTTTCTCTGAGGGACAGTATTCAATATGGTAGTCATAAGCTGAAAGGATGATTGCCCATCTTTGAATCCTGGCCGCTGCCATGGTGGGTAGACTCTTATGCTCTCCGAACAAAGTCAACAAAGGTTAATTTATAGTCCCCACACAGTCTTATGGTTTTGTCCTTTTTTATCAACGGCACAATGGGTGCTGCCCATTCACTGTGTTTTACAGGCGTGATTATTCCTTCTCCAGCCGGTCCAGTTCCGTGTCAACTTGGGCGTTCATAGAAAAAGGCAGTGGCCGAGATTTACAAAAGCGTGGAGGACTTTCAGGATTCACCAGTATTTTTGCCTTAAGCCCACGGAGTGTGCCTAGTTCATCTTTGAACACCTCCGAGCATGAATCCAGCACTTCTTCAAGAGACTTTGTTTGATCCATTTGACTGACATGTTTAATTTTTTTCCAATTTAAGCTGAGCTTTTGTAGCCAATTTCTGCCACACAGAGCTGGCCCCTCCCCTTTTACTACTATTAAGGTTAGCAGTTCACTTTGTTTTTCGTAGCTCACATTAGCTTGAAACTGTCCCAACACAGGCATAATCTCTCCAGTGTACGTTTTAAGCTTGACTCCTGCGACCTCTAGTGGCTCTTCTGAGAACGCAGCTTGGAATAGTTTCTCAGATATGATACTCACGGCAGCGCCCGTGTCAATTTCCATCATAATTTATTTGACATTTACTTTAAATGTCTGTGAATGACTTTTTGCCGTTCTCATCACTTAACAGCGAAAACATGGGCAACTCAGCTTTCTCTGCCTCCACATACTTAGTGTTTTTCTCAGCATAACGGTTACTTTTTCCAGCTTCCATTTTTCCTCTGCAAGCTCTTTTGATGTGGACAGTTTTCCCACAGTTATAAGGGCTATGATCTTTGCTGTGACACCTATAGCACTTCTTCCCTCTCTGATCGGAATGCCGCACTGCACGCGCGTCCATTTTATGAACCACTCCTGAGCGCGAGTCATTCCCTCTCAGCTGCTGCGTGTCTTTCTCCGCCGTCTCCATACTCAATGCGATCTCAAACGCACGTGCAAACGTCATATTAGATTCTGACAACAGTCCTCGTTGGCAGGCTTCGTTGCGGATTCCACTCACGAACCAGTCGCGCAATGCCTCGTCCAGCGTTGCTCCGAATTCACAACTCACAGCGCACTGTTTTAGCTCAGCAACATATTCTGTCACAGTCTCATCAGCTCTTTGATCGCAATGATTAAAACGGAATCATTCCGCAATCAGCAAAGGCTTTGGCTCAGAATGATTCTTTAAAGTGTCCACAATGTCTTTGTAAGACTTATCTTTCGGCTTCTCTGGTTGTACCAAGTTCCTCAGTAAACCGTAGGTAGTTGCTCCCATCACACTCAACAGAGTTGCAACCTGCTTCTCCTGGCTTATGTCGTTCGCCTCAAAGAACTGCTACAGCCGTTCAATATAAGCCGACCACGACTCTGCTTTCGGGACAAACTCGCTTATATTTCCAATAAGCACCATAATTTGAATAAAACTTTTATCCTCGTAGTCAATTTTTCTGATGTATCCACTAAAAAGAATACACGTGAGACGGCACGTTTGTCTTCCAGCCACCACTTTACTGCTTTTTCGACTTCCGCCCAACTCGCGCCCAAAACAATTCCCAACATTCCTAGCGCTACTGCTACGGAATCTCAATTGTCTCAAATGCAAAATTGTAAGCATTTAATACATCACAGCTGCGTTCCAGTCCATAACAACACAAGGGATCCGTTCTTCGTACATCGCTTATTACATCAGAGATCAAAATACACATCCGAGATGATATGATCCAGCTAATCATTATCTGGCTAATTAGGTTCTTCGAGCACACCTGTTGTTGATGATTAATATGGCTGGATTGAGTTATCTGAGATCATTGTGAGTTCATGCGCTGGTTTAAAAGGGGATATGTATCGATAGTAGAAACACTGATCAGCAACGCTATTATTGGTTGCCCACAATGGCCAAAGAGCGCGAGTCGTTCCTCACCGCAGTCGCGAGAGTCAGAGAAGGCCGGTCACTCACTGTCAAGCAGTTTCAGAGACTGCTGGGTCTGATGGCAGCTGCGTCCAACGTGATACCTCTTGGCCTGCTGTACATGAGACCCCTACAGTGGTGGCTCAAGATCAAGGGGTCTCCCTCAGGGGAAACCCGCTTCGCATGATCGAGGTCACGCGGCAATGCCTACGTGCCTTGGACATGTGGAGGAAACCTTGGTTCTTGGCTCAGGGCCCGGTGCTGGGAGCTCCTTGTCGCCGCGTAACGCTAGCGACGGACGCATCCCTCACCGGTTGGGGTGCGGTCATGAGTGGCCACCCTGCATTCTCCTGTGAGAACGCTTAGATCGTCTTCTCAGAAGTTATTGATTGTCCCAAAATCTCGTTTAAAATCTAAAGGGAACAGAGCTTTTTCAGTTCTTGGTCCTACACTCTGGAACTCTTTGCCTTTATCCATCAGATTATCCCCTACGTTATCTTCTTTTAAATCATCTCTTAACTGAGTTTGACACCCCTGCCTAAGAGTATGGCAGTTCTCCCTCTTGTGGACTCGTGTTATTAATACAACTTCAAGAATTTAATCTGTAGTGAATAGTGATGTATAACTTTTTTCATTTAATTAAATTTAATTAACACACACACACGCACACACTCAAAAGGTGCAAAAATGTAACAAAAACTGAATGCTTATTTTTTACGCCTGTCATACATTGGATTTGTTTTTTCAGCTCTCAACATTACACAACTCACCCACAAGTGTCACCTTTGCAGCCACATCATAAAGCTTGCTAACAACAAGGTGATGGAGGGCTCATCGTTCTAGAAAATGTACAGAGAGGTGACAGACTATTGTGGTGTGGATTCTTTTCTGAGAAGCACAAGAAAGAAAGTGACAATTACTTGAGAAGTCTTTGTCTTTGAGGACTGAGAGAAGTCTTATGAACATCCTAACAAAAACAAGAAGACTGAAGCTTTTTCAGCAGCCCATCAGTCTACTGAACAATACTAAATATCATCAAATTCAGCTTTGCTATCATAGGAATGCATTTTAAAAATATTTAAAAATATATTAAAATAGTAAACATTTACTTTATACAATTTCACTATATTTCTGTTTTTACTGTATTTTTGATCAAATAAATGCAGCATTGGTGAGACTTCTTTCAAAAACATAAAAAAAAATCACTGACCCCAAACCTTTGAACAGTCATGTATATTATGTGCACTTTATGTCATTATGCTTGCATTGCACACTTTACATTTATCTAGATTTATACCTGTGTCTAATAGAAACAGTGTTTGCCATGACCATGGGTTAAATGTCTTGCAAAGTAGTTTCTGGACATAATTTTGTTTCAATAAACACAACAAAGACTTTGACTATAATGATTTTCAAACACTTTCAATTATGACAACTTCTTTCATGTCTTATATTATGGAACATTCTTATAATTAATAACTATACTACAATCTTTACAAGATTATATAATTTATGACAACAACTTCATAGTTGTTAAGTAGCATAATTGCATCTACATTCAAAGAGAAACATTTTACAAACAAAACAAAAATATCTAAACATACACTACCATTCAAAATTTCAGGACCGTTTTTCTTGTTTTTGAAAGAAGTTTCTTATGCTCACCAAAGCTGCAAATATAAAAAAAATATATAATAAAGTAAAACAGTAATATTATATAGCCATTTTCTATTTTAATATATTTTAAAATGTAATTTATTTTTGTGATGGAAAAGCTGAATTTTCAGCAGTCATAACTCCAGTCTTAAGTGTCACATGACCCTTCAGAAATAACTATAATATGCTGTTTTGGTGCTAAAGAAAAATGTCTTAAAAAAATATCAGTGTTGAAAACATTGATAAAACAAAACAAAACAAACTTACTGACCCCATTTGAACAGTAGTGTACATGTCAAACAAGACTACTTCAAATGTTAAATTTGACAAAACTTATAGATAACAAAACAAAAAAGTAATAAAAAAAATTACTATTACATAACGATCAATTGTAAGAGGCTTGTGCAACACATTAACTTACAGAAATATTTGAAAATTTATGATTAGAAATTCTTGCCATTATGTTTGCCTGATTAACCATAAATAAATATAAACCATAAAGACATAAACCATTTTGTCATCATCTAATCTTATGTATGTTTCATCTCTAGTTTACAATACATGGACCAGAGACTTCTCGTTTTATTCTAGCCCTCAGTCTGCGCAGTTCTACATGGCCACTGTCCACTTTAAGCCCAGTCTCTGTCAGAAGCCAAGCTTTGTCGAGTTTCTGTTGCCCATAGTTCTGCAGGGCAAAGCGCAGAAACATTTCGGCAAGGCGTTGTGTTCCCAGACCAGCCTCCACACACAGCAGAGCCTGTTCCTCGTGCAGGTCCAGGGCTTGAGAAAAGTCCTGTAACCCAGACTCTTCATGAGAACACAACAACAAACTACGGCCTCTGCGGCAATGGTCCTCTGCCCAAACCCTTTGCTCCTCTCTGCCATCTGCACTGTGGCCCTGGATGACCTTATTCAGATCAGACACCGCCCTCTCGTGGAGCCCCAGGTGGGCCAGACAGGCTGCACGCTGCCTGAGGTACTGAAGCTTCATCTCATTGACCGCTCGCACTGCTAGTGTAAGGAGAGCTAAAGCCTGCTCCCACTGACCACTTTCAGAAACACTGCTGGCCTGCTGAGAAGCTGCCTGGAAGCACAAATTCGCTTTATTAGCCACTGTAGATTTGAGTAATAGGGAAAAATCAATACAAAAGAAAATAGAAGAACAGCAATTGTACTAGGGCTGTGAATGGATAAAAAAAACTTAACAAATCAATCACATCTACCATTGAACTCATAGTCATAAATAAATGTATACCTTGAATCCCTACATTAATATATAATCAAAAAAAAAAAAGTACCTGTGCCAGGCGTTTTCTTTGAGCCGACTGCAGAAGAGTGATTAGAAAGTCTAGATTTGCTGGTTCTTTCTCAGACACCACACTCAGATAGTTGGCTGCCACTTTGTAGTTCTGCTGCCAGGCCTTCACAACACCCCACCTGGCCTTAGCTGCGGCATCTCGAGGCTCTTGACCAAACACCTGCTTCAGGTGTGCACCTGCAGCATTCACTTCACCTTCACAAACATAAAAGTTATCTTTTACATAGACATGGCCCACATACTTGACTCCTACATGCTTTATACTGTTCCCTACCTTTGGCAAGTAGTGTATCTATGTACAGGAGGTGCCACCTGGGTTCCCTGCAGTCAGTGTTCATTAGCGCTCCACCAATCAAAAAGGCCTCTCGAAGGAGCTCCTCGCGGCAGGGTACAGGGTTGGCCGACAGAGTCTCTGACAGGCTGCTGCGACAGTGCTGACCCAACCATTCACTGACGAGTTTTCGTGCTTTGTCTTTAAGCGACAGCATGCTCTGAGTGACCTCCTCAGCTCCACACTGAAGGGCAACCAGTATGTCCAGTGTGCATTCCTGATGAATTATTGATATTATAGTGTCAGCTTACAAGCATATGGGAAAAGATTACTTTGAGTGTCTGTTATATCAGCCACTGATGTTAAAAGTTTCATTTATGTTACTTTACAAATTAAAAGGAAAATTTATTGGAAATGTGTATGAAGTTAACACTTAACCAAGACTATTAAATGCTGTAAAAGTTTGTTTATTGTCATTTCATGTTATCTATGCATTAACCTTTTTGTCATGTTTTACTGCATTATGAAACCACCTGCAAAAACATGTTTTGATCAAATGAGGTGGCTCCTATAGGTGGAGGTCTTTGTTTTTGCTACCACACCTTCTGCTGGTTCAGCATCAGATAAGTGAATCCTCTTCCACACAAAGCCTGCACATGGTCTGGGTGCTCTTTAAGGATTGCAGTGAAGTCAAAGATAGCTGTCTTCCATTGGCCCAGCAGAGCATAACATCTTGCTCTCTCCAGCAGGGAATCTATTGCTCCACCACCTAAAGAATAATCAGTTAACTTGTTAGGAAATATAAAACAGCAGTGCTCTTTCTAACATAATTTATATTAAGTTGATCATATGAGTTATATGAAATATAAAATCAAGATCAATAGCTGAAGCAAGTATCTGAAATTTGCAGAACTAAAAAAGGAAACGGCTGTATTTTTCCATAGAAACTGTGTCAATTAGATAGAAACAATGGTGTGATTTCCTGTTAGCATTTACACTTTTCCCTCTACATTTGACTATGATAATCATAAATATTTAGTAATGTAAATTTATATATTACTGTACTGTATGTGTCTGAAAACAACATGCTCTCATTACCTGAAGCCATAATGGCAATGGACAAATAGGCCACAGCTTCCCTTATTGCACTTTCTGCTTGTTGGCCACACAGTATACGCTTGGAAGCAGTGTGACAGTGTTTTTCTAGAAGGGCTCGGTCTTGTAAAGATGCTACAGATAGAAGGGGCCGCAGACAGCTAGTGTCTCCTGAATTGATCAGCTTCTTCAGTAGCTGTAAGACAACAGAGAGATTACTTACTGTGAAGACGAAAATTAATATAGGCTATTTTATCATAGATGCATTTTTTATGCGATTTAACGAAGGTGAACTGTAAGAGAAATATAATCTGGCACCTGATAGGCATCATAGAGGAAGCCTCGATGCAGCTGCAGTATTGCAAGGCGTGCGAGAATCGGTGGCCGTGGGGCTGTGTGCTCAATGTTCAGAAGAAGACGATAAGCCTCCTCAACACGACCCAACTGGTACAGAGCATCTGCTGTGAGAATCTGGGGTCCATCGGCACCGGGTTGTAACTCCATTAGGAGAAGAGCGAGAGCGTGCACACCAACAGCAGGCCTGAAAGGAAGCACAGGAGACTGAATAAGTGCCATCCAGTCCTACTCATGTAGGGCTAAAGTTCTGCAGAGTTCAGCTACAACCTTAATTAAACGCACCTGAACTAGCTAATTAATAGAGGTCAACCGGCTGAGAAAGTCCAACCCAAATGTTTAATGTGACTATTGTTACTATCTGTTTATATTAGATTTCATCCAGCTGGTCATTTTTATGCATTCATTAGCCAACAAAGTTACAACATTTACTAATACATTTTTCGATTTTAAAGTTGTATCTGTTAACATTAGTTAATGCACTATGAACTAACATGAATGAATAAGGTATAAATGAAATCTATTTATATGTAAAAAGTACAGTACATTTTCATGGTTTAGTACTTTTTTATTTTCTATAATAAAGTTTAGCACTATTTTTGGAGTGTTGTGTTTGTTTTTATTCAGTAGGCTATCCATTTTATAAACTTGAGGTGAGGTAGATTAATCAGTAATCGGCCAGTGCAATCCAAGTTATTGTTATCAGTAAAATCCACCATCGGTCAACCTCTTTTAAATAAGGTCTGCAGAATCTTTACACTTCTAGTCAGGTAGGTTGAAGCTGATCTGTGCAGGAAGGTGGCCCTCCAGGAGCAGGATTGGACTAGGAATGAACCAATAATAAAGTTATGCCCATTACTAATAGGCCGATTCCCATGTCATTACTGATAACTGAATTTTTTTTTTTGTCTAACAGAGAATCAAAATCAGTTACAAAGCGAATTTAGGCATGACAGCATTTCAGTTTACAGTATGAAAAATTGATTTTTATATTTGGTAAAGATTACATTTAACAAAGGTAATCAAAGGTACACTCCTAAAACATAAAGTTTCAAAAGGAGGTTTTCACAGGACACAGAAGAACCATTTTTGGTTCTTCAAAGAACCTTTCCATGAAAAGTTCTTTAAAGAATCATTATGAAGAACTTGTGTGAAGAACACCTTTTTCTACTATAATGAACCTATTGTGCAATTAAATTTTTCTATGGATGTTAAAGGTCCATCATGGAACCATCAATGTCAAAAAAGAACCGTTATATTTAACCCTTGTGCGACCTTTTGGACATTTTTGTCCTTTTCAGTTTAGTTTTTTTTTATAATTTTGCCTGTGTTATTGCCAACTGCATACATTTTGGCACAGATGTGTATTTTTATTGGAATTTTACTATTTCACTTTTACAATTTCCTTTAATAAATCTGTTTTGCACTAGGTACAAAAAATGGTTTCTCTCAGGACCTTAAGGACAAAAATGTCCCCATTGAAACCCATTAAAACTGCTATTTTTAATCGCAGTGACATTTAACTGTAAAATGATGCCATTTTTGTTAATAGGCTTTCATGCTGTTGGCAAGGCTTTAAAATTTTATTTTTTACTACTTTTACCAGATGGTGCCATTTTTTCAGGTTTGGCCTGTAAAGCAAATACTCACTTTATTCCTGTTTTCTGCTTCTGCATATTATAGAGCCAATTGGATAAATAATGCAGCTATAATTGTGTGGGTGTGTTGGTATGGATGTCAGAGTGTGGTTTGTATGTGTGTCATAAAAAAA